GGCTCTAACAAAGAAACTCTCATCTTTCTGTTTCATTCAAAACTGGCAATCCTGTGGGGAATGAAGACTAAAAACTCTTCTCCTATTTCGCTGGCATCATGCCTGAATTTTAATACAATCATGATTCCATTTCCATGTATCAAGGTGTGCTACTAAAAAAAAAGCATTCTACACAATTATTTTATTCAAAAAGATAAAAGAATCTACAAGAAATTTGCAGGCTACAGTGTACCTCAGTGGGGGAGTAGTTATCTAGCATGTATGAAGCCTTGGTTTCAAGCCCCGGTATTGTAAAGAAGAATGAGAAGTGGGGTAGAAGGAGTGGAAGAAGTGAAGGGAAAGGACCCTTTTCAGCCTCCCCGTTTACAAATGAGGAGATTCGGAGGCAGAAGAGCAGCTTAGCGGGCATGCTCAGCACATCATGGCGACATGAAGCTGCCAAACCAGCTTGAAGCGTCTCCGGAAACCTCTCCATGACAGTGCTGCCATAACTCAGTTGCCTATTGATCCTAAACTCGTTCCTGGGTGCTACTCATATCTCACTCGGTGAGCACAGTGAAGAGCAGCGCACAGTACTGGACCCACACCATCGGATCTGAGGGCTGGAGTCCCGAGTCAGCCGGCAGTACACCCACCATTAAAATCATAGTCATGGAAGGATGCAGGCAGATCTTAACAAAGCTTGGACACATTTAGGAGAAAAAGTCACATTTGGATCCATCACCCTTGGCAGCTTTCCTTGAAGGGAACACCATGACCACGTACCTAAAACTGTGTCCTCAATAAGTGACTGGCACTGTGGACCAGGGGAACTGGGGACAGGCTAGCAAGCAGTCACTGCCTCTGCCCACCATTTGGGATTCCACGGAGTGGCCAAGGTACTGGAGAGAATAGCGAGCCCAAACAAGAAGAATAATTCTCTTATGCAGATGCAGATTAGTATGCCCTGCATGACTTATATTTAAATGCAAATTTCGAAATGAATCACAATTTCCAGATAGCAGATGGTAATTCAGGTAGATGCACAATCAAAAGAGGGATCCGTGCAGTTCACTCAAAGCTGGTTTTAGAAAAAAGGGAGTAGAACAAAGTTCATCCTGCTGCTGTATGTTTCAGGGTGCACTGAAACCCGCCGACTGCAAGCGAGTTCCGGTCCTCCCCAAGTCCTAGTCCAACCAGAATACTCTGGATGCTTCCTGAATTCGTTCAAATGATTACAGAAAACCCAAATCAAAACCATTCCAAAATAGGGTCGTCTCTGCTGGGCGGTGATGACACATGCCTTTAATCCCAGCACTGGGGAGGCAAAGGCAAAGGCAAAGGCAAGCGGATCTCTGTGAGTTTGGGGCCAGCCTGCTCTACAGAGCAAGTTCCAGGACATGATCCAAAGTTAGAGAAACCCTAACTCAAAACAAAACAAAACAAAAAAACCAAAACAACAAACAACAAAAAAAGAGGTTTCTCTCCAGAAACAGGCCAAGCCAAACGAGAGAACATCGCTTCCCTTACCAGACATCTTAGGCTACCCTAATATCCTAGAACTTCCTGATCGAATGTTCCAGCTTTAACTAGGCAAATACAACAATATGACAATCATGATCTGGCACAAAGTGAACTGACAGGGGCTACAGCTTTGCAAAGCAGACCTAGAGTCTGGTATTAAAGAAGAGTCCTGGTTAGTACCGTGCGAGGGATAGTTTCTTAGAAAGATGATATTTAACTTCTGTTATCACTTCTTTACTTGTAAATCAGACGAGTGATCAGTTGGAAATGTTTACTCAGCTGCTTCCATGGATTGAGGACCTGCTTTCAGTAGTAAGAAAGCAAAGCCGGAGGAGTTCTGACACGTGGCCATCCATCACTCAGTCGGGCAAGAGTAGTCAGCATCGGCCATAATTTGAGAAGTTGACTGTAAGTTTTCCTTTTCTCTTATTTTTAAACTTTACAAGCCACACAGAAGAGAAACTATATACCTGTCAGTGTCTTGACCTTACATGTCCAGCCTCTAGAATGTAAAGAAACATAGTTTTATTGCATTAAGTTCTCTGCTTGTGGAAATATGTTATGGTGGTCCTGGAGAACAAAAACATATCAGACACTCGCTTGCACTCTCCAGACAAGGTGGTTTTGTAAAGCTTATCATAACCTCTACCATTTAAAAAGTAAAGAACTGTCTCCTCAAGCAATGCTTGGGACACTACCCACTTGTGTGCAAAATGATGGAAACACTTGCCTAATGCTGAAAAGAAAAAGAAACTCACATTAGATTAAAGACAGAAAACTACAAAATCCCTAAAAGAAAACCCAAGGCAAGTTATTCATGACATTGGTTTTGGGTGTGACTCAAAGGCCCAGGTAACAACAACAAAGAACCAAAGAGTTAGAGAACTGGACTTTATAAAGTTTTTAGAATACTATGTTCAAGACATACTAGTAACAGAGTCAAAGGGCATCAGAGAGATGGGGAAATAATAGAAAATCATGTCTAGAGGGGTTCCCAGGTCCAAGGAGAGGTCCCCAGATTGTTCCTTGGGCAGCAGAGGAAAGGATGACTGAACTGGCCCTATCCTATAGCCACACTGATGAATATCTTCCATATCACCATAGAACCTTCATCTGGTGATGGATGGAGATAGAGACAGAGATCCACATTGGAGCACTGGACTTAGCTCCCAAGGTCCAAATGAGGAGCAGAAGGAGGGAGAACATGAAGGAAGTCAGGATCACGAGGGGTGCGTCCACCCACTGAGACAGTGGGACTGATCTAATGGGAGCTCACCAAGGCCAGCTGGACTGGGAGTGTTGGAGCATGTGAACAAAATGTACACTCTGAACGTGGCTGGCAATGAAGGCTGACTGAGAAGCCAAGGACAATGGCACTGGATTTTTATTCTACTGCATGGACTGACTTTGTGGGAGCCTGGTTTGTTTGGATGCTCATCTTTATAGACATGGATGGAGCAGGGAAGACCTTGGACTTCCCATGGGGCAAGGAACCCTGACTGCTCTTAAGGCTAGAGAGGGAGGGGAAGGCTGGGAGGGGGAGGGAAAAGGGAGGCAGGGAGGAGGTGGAAATTTTTAATAAATAAAAATAAATAAATAAGAAAATCATGTAATTGATAACGGACTGATACCCAGAATACATAAAAAACTGAATCTTAACAACAAATACAAATTCCAACCCCCCCAAAAGTGGGTAAAGGACTTGAATACCTGTTTTCCCAAAGAGGTGCGTGCATGTTTACCAAGCACATAAAAAGACATTCCATACTGATCAAGAGAAACTCAAGTCAAAGGTACAATGAGTTACTACCTCATACTCATTAGCACTACTACTACTAAATAAAACCAGAAAATATCAGATGTGGGCAAGGATGTGATCCAAGACTCTCATTCGCCAGCGAAGTTGCTTTGTAGGAATGTAAAGAGGTTACGTTCCCCCTGCAGTGGTAAGGACTGAATTCACTCACGCTGGACAGAAACCTGCTGAGTTCACACAGTCTCAGAGTTTACAATCCCTGATCGTCGGTTCCATTGTCCTGGATATGTGGTGAAGCAGAACTTCAGGGCAGGGAACACAGAGTCTTAAAGCAGAGATGAATTATGGCCTAGAAACAGAGAGAGAAAAGAAAGAACTAGAGACAAGGACCTGCCCTGTATAACTATGATTCAGCTAAGCCTCCTCCAGTACCACCCACCAGTCCACCCGTCCATGACCCATCACTGATTAACCCACTGATCTGCCTTCAACACACACACACAAAGACCACAAGCTTCTGAGAAGCAGTTCAGACTCAAACCATTACAGCAATGAAAAATATCACAGGACACATGGATTTCATTTCTGCCTACCCAGTAAAGAGAACTGAAATCAAAGAGTCAGACTAGTTTCTGAGCATCCACGCCCACAGAAACGCCATTCACAATAGCTACATCACAGAAGCAACCCAGGAGTAAACGAGAAGATAAGCAAAATATGATACGCTCATATAATGGACCTCTGGCTGAAAAGGGGGAAAGCGTAGCGAGGCCGCAGGCAAAGACACGGCGTGAGAAAATGAAACGGAGAGTAGATAAGAAAACTTCATTGAAAACCTCAGTTTCCAAGCTTCTGCTGAGGTCACACACGGCTTATATTTTCTCACAACCTAGAGCCTTCACGCAGAAAGATACTTCCCCATCCCTTTCATTCTGGTCAAGAGCACTGTCGTTCTTGGGTTAACACGCTCAGAGCAATGCAGATACAGAAGTTCTTTTGGAAAAGTAGTTAACTCAGATTAAAACAGGAGAGAGAAAATAAACAATGAACACACATAGCAGAAGTTGTGTTCTTTAGCGAACAAACTCATGTAGCCTAAAGAAGACCCCAAGAGCCAGGCGGTGGTGGCGCAGGCCTTTAATCCCAGCACTTCGGAGGCAGAGGGAGGCTTGAGGATCTCAGTGAGTTCCAGGCCAGCCTGGTTTACAAAGTGAATTCCAGAACAGCAAGGACTGTTTTAGAGAAACCCTGTCTTGAAAAACAAAAACCAAAAAATAAATAAAATAAAATAAAACACCAAGAAAATGGAAACATTAACTTTCCTTATAATTTTTGATCTACTTATAGACTGAACCAAGTTCTAAGCTGGAAGAAGAAAGATATCACTGCAGGGCATGAAGATCACTCTCCTGGCTTCTTGATAGCAAAAACAGCGTAGCAAAAAAGGCACTGAGACGTGAGACGTGGAGAGAAAACAACAACAACAAAAAAAACACCGTATTATAACAATACTGTCATCTGAAAAAACAGCGCTACTTTCACAGGGTGGACAAAAAACTCTATAAAATCAAAGTTTGAGCGATGTTTTAACTGAAAGACTCGTTCTATGTCAGGCTTTAGACTTCCGAATCAGAAGCCTGGGCCGGAAGGCATCGCAAGTCCCGTCCCCGACCGACCTTTCAGTCAACTCGAGTTGCTTGGTCCCTTTTGCAGCACCCTGTGCGACAGTTCCCGACTCACTTTACGGCGCTCCTGACGTGTTGCGCGGCGCTGCCGGAGCCGGCGGCGCGGTTGGTGCGGTAGCAGCGGTCTACACGGCGTGCTGTGGCGGTGTGCTCGCGCTGGGATGAGCGCGCGCTGCCCAGCCGCGCAGCGGAGTCATGGTGAGTGGTCGGCGCTGACGGGCCCAGACGTGGCGCTGGCCGCCCGGGCGGACGCCAAGACTGACCTTCGCTCCAGCCGACAGCCTGTCTCTGCTGAAGGCAAACGCTTGCGCCTCCTGGGGAGGTCGTGGGCCCGTTAACCCCCAACAAATCCTTTACGGTGGAATTGCCTTGTGGGACTCTTGCAGGGAGCTTTGCAAGCACTGTTTTCTAATCCAGTAGAAATCTTAGTTCTCACCGGTCTTGTTTAAACTTGAATAAGGTTCAGGTGTCTGTGGGTTAAAGTTCTCTTCGACCTCTGAAAAAGTCACCCTTATTGCTGTGGATAAGCAGGCCGACTTACCCTTTTCTTCTTAGTGAAAATAGCACACCAGACAGTAAATTGTGTATAAACATTGCAGTGGTTTTTAATTTTTTTGAGGCAGGGTCTCACTATGTAACCTGGCTGTCCCAGAGCTCAAGAGATCCACCTGCCAGAGGCTTCTAGGTGCTGGGAGTAAATAGCATTTAAAAGCCACCATCGTGTTCAACGTCAAATTGCAGTGTTTTAAAGACAAAACATTTTTACCAAAAAAAAAAAAAAAAAAGTTTCCTTCAGCAGGCGTGGTGCTGCACTCCATAGAGTTTCAGCTACTTAGGAAGGAAACTGAGGCTGAAAGATCGCAAATTCATGGCCAACCTGGACAATTTAGCAAGTCTTCACCCCAGAATAAAAGGGTGGAGACGTAGTCCCATCAGTATAGCGTCTTCCATGTGTGACACCCTAAGTTTCATCCCTAGTCCTTGCCAGAAAGGGGAAAAGAACCCACCTTTCACTGCAGAAGGCTGTAATGAGTTTGGATGCAGGCTAGGTGCAATTAGAGAAGTAAAGATATTCTCTTTTTCCCCCCTTACCAGGCCAGCACAGTGGTAGCAGTTGGACTGACTATTGCCGCTGCAGGATTTGCAGGTTTGTTTATGGCGTGGGGTCGGAAGAATAGACTGGTTATGGGTTAACTTGCTTATTCTATTGATTTTGGTTTTAGGCCGTTATGCTTTACAAGCCATGAAGCACGTGGAGCCTCAAGTAAAACAAGTTTTTCAAAGCCTACCAAAATCTGTAAGACAACTTTTTTTGGGGGGGGGGTAAATGTATTGCCTGTATTTGAAGCCTGAAGCTGCCCTGTAGCCTGAATGTTCAGTGAGGAAGGAGTTGCAAACCTTAGGTGACAACTGAGGGTGGGTGACCTTTCACAGATGGTTACTTTATTACTCACATACTGCTAACCTGCCTTCCCTCATCTGCTGTCACATGAGACATAGGTAGTATTGCAGTGCTGTTAGATGTAACTACATCTAAACATCACACCCTGTCATGTTAAGAATGAGTCTTAACGGGATACAGCACATAAGCTGCTGCTCTTCAGGACTTTGAGGATCCATGTTATAGACAGCAGAAGTCATGCTGTCCAAGGTTAAATTAAGGTCCTGATGGCAGAATTTCCCCCACACTGCCATAAAGTCTTTAGTGGTTGCTTTGAACCAGATATGATACTGCTTTCTATGCAGAATATGGGTGACAATGGCCTCCATTCATTCCTGGTTTTCTTAAGTCCTCGAGACAATTTGTTCCAGTTTGGCTGGAGGAAATGGATGTTTAATGCTTATTGCAGTAGCTACCACTACTCAAGCTAAAATACCTTGGGAAGTAGACTTGTAGGTCTTTGAAATGTGCTATTTTCTCTTGATTTAACCAACCTTCCATTTACTTCATTAATCTTTCAATTCAATTTCCCTTCCAGGCCTTCAGTGGTGGGTACTATAAAGGTGGGTTTGAACCCAAAATGACAAAACGGGAGGCAGCATTAATACTAGGTGTAAGGTAAGATTTTTACTCATTAATAGATGTAGGGTAGGGTAGTTTCTATTAGTATTTTCCTGCAATTGAGAATAAGGTAGTTATTAGGAATTTTGTCCCAAGAAGACACTGATTTTATATTGGTCAGCTCCTTCCATGAAAATCTTTAAGCCTAACATGCCTGCATAAGTACAGGACTCTCACTGAGGGATATGTAACAGATTATGACAGTGCTCACTGCTCCCTGGAGTGATCTGCAGTGAAGGCCAACAATATCCAGTTTTGTTTTTAGGCACTATAATTTGGTTCTGATTTAGAAAATGCATTTTATATCTGTGAGGCTTATTAAAGTGTTAAAATTTGACCCTTCGGTATAGTCTGTGTGTGATTTTGAATAAATCAAAGCAACAAATTGTTTCCCTTTTCATATTAGCCCTACTGCCAATAAAGGAAAGATCAGGGATGCTCACCGACGGATTATGCTCTTAAACCACCCAGACAAGGGTAAGTAACGGCTCAGCTTTTGTTAAGCATGTTGTTGGACTGCTGTTAAGGGGATAACTAATTATATAAATGTCTAAATGTACATATGAGCAGTTTCCCAGGCATGGATCACATAGTAGTCTTATATAAATAAAATCTACCCGATATAACACACTCCTGTAATCCCAGTACTCAGGGAGGGGGGCTGAGACAAGAGGATCAAAGGTTAACAGTGCAAAACAGTCTGACACCTTATCTCACCAAAACAAAAGTATAAGAGCCACTGTGATTTGGGAGTAATAAAAAATTGAATAGTGCTTTTAGGTTGTTTGATAAAATATCTTCCAGTAATGATCACAAATATTAGATATTTTGGTTGGCTTGTTTTTATGACATCTTGCTATGTAGCCAAGGTTGGTCTAAACCTCATGACCATTCTGCCTCAGCCCCAAGTGGTGGGATTAAAAATGTACACATCAACTCTTGGATTAGTTTTGTTGTGTATTTTTGAGTTTTGCTATATATTTGCTTAGATTCATAAATAACCAAGTGCTAAATTTTAATTAGAAAAATTCTAAGGGGTTTCCCCTTTTAGTGGGTGCTTGGAACAGAAATTATTATTTGGAAACCTATGAGCTGTGTTCGCTTTTGATATACCTCAAAGTAGCTTTCAATGGTAAAAGGGATTACTTTGACTAAAAACGTAAAAATCTGTTGTCATGTGCAAATCTTGTTTGTAGGAAAAAGCGTTTTGCCAAGTTTAAACAGGACAACTGTTTAGTATGAGACTTTACAGTGTAAGGAATTTAGCTTGAATTACTTAAGGTCATCTGTTCTGGATGCGTAGGTAGAGTCCATACACAGTTATTCTACCGGCATCCTCTTGATGCTCTTTGATGGGCTTCATCAGGTTATTAAAACGGCAACTCTAGATGACGTTAGAAAGGGTCACTGAAGCAGAAAAGGATGTAAAGCAATAGGTCTTCTCAAAATAAGCTAGAAGTCCCTGGGAACACTTGAAACAGTGGACTATGTTCACCTGTGCAGTAATGAACAGCGTTTGTTTCAGATGCCTGTGTGGAAAGGGCTAAATCTGTCAGTCAGATTTTAAGTTTTTTAAAGGTGTTTTCATCTCATTTCCCAATACTTTATCCTGTAATTTCGTGACCTACTTAAGGTATCATAGTTGCTTTTTAGAAAATGAAAATAGTATCTCTGTTAAGGTCTGGGATCTTTGAAATGCAAGTAACTTTTGGCAGATTTAGAATCTGTGCTCTAAACTATGTCTCCCCCCCCTTTCTTCTATAGGAGGATCTCCTTATATAGCAGCAAAAATCAATGAAGCTAAAGACTTACTAGAAGGTCAAGCTAAAAAATAAATGTGATGAATTTTAAGTCAATTAGTCTATGTTTTTGTAATAAAATACCCCAGAGCTATAATTTGTGAAATGACTTAGAATCAGTGTCTTGGTGTATTTTGTTCGAATTTTAGGATTTCAGGATTGAGATTATTTATAGTATTAGCAATTATAATTACAGATACACACTATCTGAATATAAACATTGTTCTTTACTTAACAAAGAAATTTTAGTACTTATGTTGCTCTTCAAGGCTTTGCTCTGAGAATGCCCTACTGCAGTTTATTAAGCCAGGCAGCGTGAACTACTGAAGCAGGGATTCTTTGGGGGGTAAAACTCCAGGCATGACGGCCTGCTCAAGTACACTGTAATTCAAACTTACTAATTTAGCTAAATTTCCATCTAAGAAATTTTAGTTCACTGACAATTCAATTTCATCAATACGTTAAAACTTTAATACTGCTGTCCTGAACTATGTAGACTAGGCTGGCCTTGAACTCAAGAGATCTACTTGTCTTTCCCAAATGCTGGGATTAAAGATGTGTCCCACCATACCCAGCTACATTAAAACTATAATAGAAGCATTTCTGTGTATAGCTCCTGTTTTTAATTCCTATTTAGCTAGTCTCTTAAAAATACTTACAAGTTGTCCCCATTTTGCTTTCTACATAGTTCATCTGTATGACAAAGCTTATTTGTGAATTTAAAGTCCTCTCAATATTAAAATACTAAGAGCCAGTGCAGGCCTTTAATCCCAACATGTGAAAAGCTTTTGATTTTCAGCCTCAACTGTTAACATTTTACATACTATACATCCAAGTGACACTTGAAGGCAGGTAACTTTTAGTTCAACATTAAAGTATGTAAGGACTTGTATAGATCAGGAGGTAAAATCTCTGGCTGGTAGCATTTGTGAATTTCAGTTAATCAGAGCATGCTGAGGGAAACACGGTGGGTGTGTGAATGTGGTCAAGGGTACTAAGGGTGTTAATAGTGGACACATAACAGTAATTAATAGTAAATAGCTCTGTATTTACTTCCTATCTTGTACCCTTGTTCAAAGTAAGTCCTTACAAATAAGAGTTAAGAAGTTTGAGTGTGATGAAAACTAGCTTCTAGAGATTTTGTGTAGCAGAAACACCCCCAAGCCCCATCACACTAGGGAAGAGGCCAGGTCTAGGGGTAGACACAATTGATTCTTACAGCAGCTGTGTTCTGTGATACTCAACTAGCAAATGTCGACAATTCTGTTTCTAATGGGAAGAGGTTCTTGTGAGTTTCTAGACATATGCTTCTCTTTGAACATTAATACTTATTTAATGTATTTCCTTCATCAGTATTTTCAAGTTGGAAGCACTACAGCATAACTTTGGCATATACAGCCTTTCTTATTTTGAGCAACACAGCACTACACCACACAGGAAGATAAGAAAAAATCAATACAAGCAAAAGCAGGTAATACACACTGCACTGCCTTACCTGAAGGCATGTCATTAGAAATGATCAGCAAAGCAAGTGGAGTGTTAATGTGGGTTTTATGTTAGCAAGCAGGTAAATGCACTTAAGGAATCCATATTTGAGGGTAGTCAAATTATGGTTTACTAACCTCTTATTTAGCCATTTGAACTAACAATAAAAATAAATTCATTCAGGGCTGAAAACATGGCTCATAAACCCTGTCTGCTCTTAAAGAGGACCCAGGTTTGATTTTTAGAACACAGGCGATCTGATACCATCATCTGGCCTCCTTGGACACAGCCTTCACATGATATATAAATGCAGGCAAAACACCTACATAAAAGAATGTCAAATGCTATGCATACCTGTTAGGAAACAAGCACCCAAACACTGAAAGCCTATCTTTCATACCAAGGAGCCATTCATTCTTCGACAATAGTCTTTATTTACTCTAGGCTTACCTTTTCCAAGCTGAAGAATCTATTTCATTGGAAGCTCTAGGTATAATGTTTAAATGTCACATATGTAAGGGCTCTTAGGAATAGGACCTATAAAAAAAGGGCCTTCTCCGTGGTATTTCCTTAAGTGCTTAAAGCCTCCTGCATTGTGGTAAGCATTCTTAGTGTATCTCAACTATTATGTGTTTAACAGAAGAGAACCAAAGTTTAGAAAAGTAATGTGTCCATGGAGACAAGGTCAAATGGGAAAACCTGCTTCTTTTCAGACTCACAGTTCTATGCCCCTAACGTCTGTAACCTTTCAGTTCGAATCGAATCATCTAAGCATGTTTCTTGGTGATACTTGCTACGCATCCAGCTGTTTACACATACATATAAAGTGCCAAGGATTGGACCGTTTTGCCATAAGCTAGGCAAGCACTTGCCAACATTCCTATCAGGTATTGTAAATGGCGATGAAGGGTTAGGTGCAGATCAGTGGCAAAGGAATAGCTGCAACTTAGGACCAGGAATCTGACAGGAAGGCTAAAATGTGTAGGCCAAACACTAAATATTGGATATTTTCCCCTCAGGAACCATCCAGCTTGGTTTTTTGTTTTGTTTTGTTTTTTGAGACAGGATTTCATTGGGACTTAACTCAGACTTAAACTCTTATTAGGATGGGGGCAGGCAGTAGTCAGTCAACACAAACATTCTGTCTCCAGTTTCCCGGTGCTGATCAAAAGTCTGACCTTCCAACGCTTGACTAATGTGGGGATTGTACGCAAACCACATTTACGCAGCAAACACTTTACTGACAGAGGGATATATGAAATGAAAATTTAAGGATTCCTCCATATTTTATTAAGAGGAAAATGATTAGCTAATGAACAGATGACTGAACCTGGGCCTTTCTTTCCCAGTTTATCATGTTCACTTACAGTCCTGGCTCTCCATCCATAGGTTACCTTTGGTGTTGACATTACTACGACAGAAACCCTAGCTCACTGTCTTTAGAAATTTTTTTTTTCTCTGATAATGCCAAGTACACCTTAGCATTATCCTGAAAGTCAATTATCTTTGGACACCATGGATTTTTAGCAAATTCTCTTACCTTCAAGCTTTCTCCAAATAACAGGAGTACTTAAGGAAGAGTGATAGAAAAACTGTCAAATTGTGTTATCTGAGACCCTTTCCACCTCTATATTCAGAACCAGCGAAAAGTACTAGGGGCAATGAGTTGCTTTCTAAAAAGGTAAAAACTAGAGCCAGTAAATGGTTCAGCGAGTACACTTACTACAAGCCAGGCAAGAAACTGGACTTGCCTGGCTTGTAGTTGAGTTGAAGGAGTGAACATCCCCTAAGATACCTTCCATGTGTTCCGTGGCACAAGCACTGCACACTTAGAAAAACATACTTTAAAAAAATTTCAGGCAAAACCCTAAACCTGTGAACTGCCATCCTGTACAGCTTCTCAGTCTGAATATATCCTACCTTAAACATTACATACAAATGATTAAAATAAAGACAAGTAAAGTGATAGTAAAAATTACTAACCAGAATATAGTCTTGGATATGAGAATTCATAACAAATCTTTTTCTGGTTAATGACCTATAATAAGTTTTCAATTCAGAAACCTGAGATTAAATGCTACCACCCTCGAAATATTTACGAGAAATTTACAACTTGGCTCAAGTTCAATTAACAGCACATTAAAAAGTCCACAGGCAATGTCAAAAAATATTTAATAAACTCAGCAGCTGAGAACATTAGAACAAGTAACCCTGAGAATAAGAGACATCAATCTAGGCAAGATGGCTCGATGGGTAAAGGTACTTGGGGTCAGCCTGGCAACCTGAATTTTACCCCAGAACCCACAAAGTCTAGGTAATCAATATGAATTAGTATTATATTTATACCTAGTAGAAATTTTGCTTTTTTTTGTTTGGTAAAAATGGTTTTAAACTGCAAATTTAGTAAACAGAGTAACTTCAGAATATGTTAAGATACAACTACCAAAATACAGAGAAAGTTGGAAATTTTTAAGTGGAGTGGAGCAAATGATATACTTGCTACTTGTGGCTGTCAGGCTGTATAAGAAGGGGATTCTTTTTGTGTTGAGCCTAACTGAATGTCAGGAATGGACACACCCAACATACACCACTGCAAGTACTTTCATACTCACAAGGCTATGAGACATACGGTTAAAATGCTATTAACTCCAAAATATAGAGACTTAACGCACAATGGCTCCTAATTATATGCTTTTTATCTGTAACATCTCAAATGTTTAAAGTTTGTGGGAAATCATGGTCAGGTCTACCTGTATTCAGGTACTCAGAGAAGGGTGGAACAGAAGGTTAAACCTAGTCATTTGATACAGCCAGATAGACATGGTGGCTCAGGTAGACAGGCTGGTCCCAAGTAATCACAGCACTGAATACCTGAGGCAGGAAGATCACTTTGGAGTTTAAAGCCATAACGGAATATAGACCTCTCTCAAATCTTAAAAACAGTTTAAAAAAAAAAATGCTACGGACACAAGTCTATGTCAAAATATTTCTTACAGAGGTTCCTGGGTTCAATTCCCAATATCACCAAAAATTAATTTTTTAAAAAGGTATTATTTTCTTATAGATTACATGTGCCTCTATCATCGAGCTGATGAACAACTCCTTACTAAATTTCTAGTGCTTTTAATTAATTAGGTTAACAAAACAAAACCCAAAACCTATCAATAGCTGGTCATTTTTGACCCCTAAGAGTAGTAATTTACAAGGAAATAACAATAACCCTAATGTAATGGTGCGTTTCAACTAGCAGTACATACTTTCAAGTGAACACCTGTTCAAAGACTGACTATATTTGACTGAGATTCCAACAGATTAAAGCCAAACTCTTACCATATATTAACAGGGTAAAGAGCAATTATAACACCCCAATTAAACAAGTTAGGAGGTAATGAATTGATATGGGGGAACCCAAGCCATAAAAAAAGCAAATTAAGACTGAATGAGATATTAAAATAAAACATGTTCTCCTTTTCAAATTCTACAAAGCTTCAGACACAAATGCAATGGCCCTTTACTGACAAAAATACATGCCACATTATGGTACGGTTCCCATTTGTTTTCCTTAGCATTCGTATGCTAGACTTATTTAGTCTTTAAGAATTCTAATTATTTGAGACATAAAAAAATTGGA